ATTGGCCTAGGGGGGGATTTTATAGGGATTTTAAAGGGATTTTATAATTTTTCTAATACAGGTTAATTAATATATATTTTAATTTGGCTTTTAAATATTTATTGTATAGCTCTGTTTTTATTTACCTGTAAGCCGCCCTGAGTCCCTCGGGAGAAGGGCGGGGTATAAATTAAAGTAATAATAATAATAATAATAACTGCTGTGGCAGCCACCTGTGCTGGCAGCAGCAAACAGGCAAGAAATGCAGTGGGGGGGGTCACCCTCCAAGAGGAATGAAAAAAGGCAGCAATGGCTGGAAGTGAGGCACAGGGGAGGGAGGGAGATGGAGAGTGGAAGGATTCTTATGTGCTTTTGTGACACATAAGTTCTGGGATTTGTGCAATGTGGGCGTTGTGTCTTAAGGAGTGTTTGGCAATTTCTATTTGGCTAATGGCTGATGTCTGGTGTTAGCTTCTATTGCTCTGCTATTGTTAGCTGTAAGTTTTGCTGCAAGGGATTTTGAAGTATTTTTCTCCTGAATGGATTTTGCCTGTAGCATTCCTTTACTTATGAATGGAGCCATTTGGGGAGGCTGCCTTAGCCGGCAGCCAATACTTACTACATTTTTTTTTCTTCCTTAAGTGCAGGCTGCGCTCCTTAACTTTCCTTTCTAGCCAGTAGCTAATTCTTAAAGGGGAAAGTGCCTTTTTAAGCTAGTTCACTCAGCAGTTTGTCTTTTCTGTCTCTGGGGGCTTTTCCTTGTTTGATGAATATATGGAAGAGAGACAACATGGGGGGGGAGTTTCAAATTCTTCCTTCATAAGGAGGTGGGCATGAGAAAGAGGGAGGCAGGGAAGGAGGGAGGGAGGGAGGTCCCGCTTTAGCACTTGGCCACCAGCAGCCCTGCCATTGACTTTGCTTGTCAAAAGGTTGCAAAAGGGGATCACATGACCCTGGGACATTGTGACCATCATAAATATGAATCAGTTACCAAGCATCCAAATATAAATCACATGACCCTGGGCATGCTGCAATGGTCATAAGTATGAAAAATGGTCATAAGTCATTTCACTGCAATTGCAACTTTGAACAGGATTTTTTTTTTGGGTCATCAAGTTTTTGACTTGCTATGTGGTACTCGAATACTGCCATATCCTAAAAGTGGTACAATTGGTGAAAAGGTTGAAAAGCCCTGATCTAGAAGATAAAGTCATACTTAACTTCAGCTTGACTCTTGGTGACTACATCAACACATTCATGTTCTTTTTGTGCTAATAAGAGGGAAGTGGATTACTATTGCTTTCTGGGATTCTCCCCCCCCCCCCTATTTCCTAGTCTAGCTGACAGCCCTGGGATTTCCTAGGGTTATCCTATCCTACTACTACCTAGAAATTAGTCAGGTGTTGCCATGTGCTGTTGCACTGCAAAAGCGTAAAATTTAAACACATTCAGAATGAAATGTACATATCTTTAAATGTCTTCATTAGTTTATTAATGAAAAAGGAAAAACATTTGCAAGTTCAATGAACAGATGCAATTCTTCCCTTCCACTTTTGAAAAGTGTGGGAACTATGATCATCCAGATATTGCTGAACTAAAATTCTTTCCAGATGGTGCTGAACAAGCAGCTTTTGGCCCTGTTGCATGGGAATTGTAGTTCAACATCTGGAGAGTTTCAGATTGCTATTCTGACTTGCAACAGTCGGAATCTGAGACACAGAATCCATAAGAAATTGTGCCTTTCATGAGGTCTGTCCTGACTTCAACATTTGCTTTCATAGTTGAGCAAAGGAAAAAAAAATCAGTCTTGTTTTTCTTTGAGAAATAATTGTAAAATTCCATCTCCAAACATGGTGAGTGCTTTGCATCTATTCATTAATTTATGCAAATTGTATAATTTATGTGTGTGTGTGTGTGTGCACGCACTCATGCATATTTCTATAGTGAACTATACATTGCATATTTCACCTAACTTTAATGCTGGCAAATTGGGAGATTTTCTATCCTTAAGTTTCAAACATCCTCTTCTGATTTTCTATGTGTATTTTTGCTTTTTTAGAGCTCAACTTTTAAAATATAGAAATAAAAAATAAAGATGTTTTCTGTAGCAAAGGCATCTATTGAAATTTTGCTTTCTTTTTCAAGGCTTGTTTGAAGTTCGTGCCTTGGAATACTTGGAGACCATTCCAGAGACTGAGCCAAGTGGAATGAACAAAATCCTTCGCAGTCTGGGTGAGTCACCCTTAGATTTGTTCTTGGCTAGTCTAGTTTCTATGATCCACTCTGACCGTGATAATATTACTTTGATTCCTAAAATGGTACTGACAACTGGAATGATTTTTATAGTGTGACTTTCTAACTTTGTTTATTTGAGGGTTAGAATCTTTATCTTAATATCCAAACAGAAATTCAGTAACGTAGTTGAGGAAGAATTTTTGCTTCTTGCACTTTAACTGAAGCTTACACTTCAGCTAAGCTACGATAGACTTGAACATTGGGTGCTATCTAACAAAATGAAGTTCAATGGTGAAAAAAGTAAGGTTCTACATTTAGGCAAGAAAAACCAAATGTACAGGTATAATATAGGTGGTACCTTGCTCAATAGCAGTAACTGTGAGAGAGATCTCAGAGTCCTAGTGGACAATCACTTAGACAGGAGCCAGCAGTGTGCTACAGCTGCCAAAACTGCCAACACAGTGCTAGGCTGCATTAACAGAGGGATAGAATCAAGATCATGTGAAGCATTAATACCTCTTTACAATGCCTTGGTAAGGCCACACTTGGAATACTGTATCCAGTATTGGTCACCACGATGTAAACAAGATGTTGAGACTCTAGAAAGAGTACAGAGAAGAGCAACAAAGATGATTAGGAGACTGGAGGCTAAAACACGGAACGGTTGCTGGAATTGGATATGTCTAGTTTAGTAAAGAGAAGGATGAGGGGTGGCATGATAGCAATGTTCCAATATCTCAGGAGTTGCCACAAAGAAGAGGGAGTCAAACTATTTTCCAAAGCGCCTGAAGGCAGGACAAGAAGCAATGGATGAAAACTAACCAAAGAGAGGAGCAAGCTAGAACTAAGGAGAAATTTTCTGACAGTTAGAACAATTAATCAGTGGAATAACCTGCCTCCAGAAGCTGTGAATGCTCCAACACTAGAAGTTTTTAAGAAGAGACTGGATAGCTATTTGTCTGAAATGGTATAGGGTTTCCTGCCTGGTCAGGGGGTTGGACTAGATGACCTCCAAGGTCCTCCCATCATCATCATCATCATCATCATCATCGTCATTATCATTATCATCAATATTAATATTAATAATAATAATAATAATAATAATAATGATATTTATTTATTTATTTATTTATTTATTTGTTTGTTTGTTTGTTTGTTTGTTTGTTTGTTTGTTTGCCCACCCTTAAAATCTACTTTTCCTCAGGAGGTCAAGGCAGTGCATGGCATGCCCACCCAAAATTTGTAATCCTTGTTATGGCTTAGCACAATATATTAATCTCTTCTTTGATTTTGTAATCTTATGTTCCCCAGTGCTTTTTTGCCACTTACAGTATTAAGAAATTTTGCAATAGGATATAAATGGATCAGTGAACCTTCATGTTAACTGCTTCTGTTAACAGTTATTCAGTTAACAGTTACATATTCAGTTACCTGAACTCATAGTTCATATTTTTGCCTAGTGACAATGTAGACCATTGCACTAGAAGTTAACACTGGGATCTAAACAGATGGAACTTAAAGCAGCTAATACTGTAGCAGTCCTCCTTTTCAAAGTCTGATGCAGTCATATTCATCTCTAAGCATCGTAAGTGGTGAGACTTGGCTCAAGCAGGGTAGCTTCCCTCCCTCCTTCCTGTTTCTCTTGTCTTCTACCTCTGCAAGTCTTTGGCATTTCTCCAACCATCCTTCTATCTCTGTCTTGGGTGGGGTTTTTTTTGCCTCATTTGACTATAATCTAGGCAGCAGTGTTTGTTGTTAAGTAGGTAATTTGTCTGAACTTGCTCCAGTTAATTTAATTCTAAAAATTGCATGCATGAATGCACAGTATTTAGAATGCTAAAACCGAGGCTGAAAGAACTGTTTTGGGTATATTGAAATGTAAATTGTAAATTACAATCATCATCCCTTGCTCACTATCACTCAAAATAGAACACTGCAGTTGTGTGCTAAAGAAGCTTAAGATTTTAGGAGCTGAAAACCATTTGAATACCATCAGGCAAATTTCTTGTAGAAAACTTTGTATATTCTCTTCTCTTCTGTTGTATGATTGGGGTATTGCTATTAAAAGCCTGTGTAGCACCTCCTGCATCTTATTTACAGAGGGAATCTGGAGAGCCTCAAAAACTGTATTTAAATTTTGAGTGTGTTGGGAGATACTTTTAAAATATTGTATTCCCTCTACTATTCCCTGAGGGAATTTCAAGCCTAAAATTCCACTGGTCAGAATTAGCCACTTCGAATTTTGACTCAAACAGACAAACCTGTTCTTTTTATTTTATTTGTAGTTGTCTTCCACATGGTTAACATATCTTTAACCTTTCTTTTAATCTCCTGTTGTATTTTAGGTAATAAAATGAAGTTTCTACAAAAGAAGTGAGAAGCCAAATGCAGAATCGCTAAGCTTTATTTTACGATACTGGCAAGCCATAATGATGTGGCTGTGTCGCTGTGGTATTCTATTAGATTCTTCAGGTCCCACTTAAAGAACTTCAGATGACTGGAAAAATGAACACCAAATATGAACAGCATCCTTGATCTCAGTTCTGCTTGGTCTGCTTGGAGTATTACTGAGCAAAAAAGGAACTTCTGTTTACAGAGATGATCTATAAAGCAGAAATAACAACAGAAACTATATCCTTATTTATACTGCATGGCTGGAAAAGATTTTCCTCGTGTTATTAAAAATATGCTCAAAGCAATCTCAAGGCTTCAGCTCAAAGCAATCCCAAGGATTCAGCTGGTACCTTTTAAAAAGAGGAAGAAACCAAGAAAGAACCAGGAATCCAGCAAAGTGGCTATGCCAATATTTCCTTGAATAGATTCTTTGCACAAGAAAGCCTTTCTTAAGGCTGGTTGGAGGTTATAATCTCTCATTGACCATAGCATCAGATATTTTATTGGCTTGATCATTCATGGTTAACTATTGTTTGGACATATTACTGCAGTGTAAAGCTTTTCTCACTTTTGAAAGCAAAACAAGAAATTTGTTTGCTATGTTAGTCTTAATTGTTGTGAATGTACACACTGTCTAATTACAAGTCCATCTCACATATGACAGAGGATATACCTCATGCTAAGCTATTGTTTACTTGTCAGGAGAAGACTGTTTGTTCCCAAATGGAGTATGAATATTTTTCAAAGTCAAGATGTTGACATTGAAATAGGCTAATTTGCTGCAGAACTGATGTAAAGGGACAGATGATAACTTTCATGCAGTCTATTTTGCAGTAAAAACTGGAATAACAAATTATTCCTTTGAAGCATCATTCTGCTCTTTTCCCACAGCTGAATATCATCAACAATATGCTTCCTCATCTAATGTTAAGTCTGTCAACTGCTTTCAATAAATACTGAATTCTCTTATTAGCCACTCCTGTAAATGCCTAGCATTTGATATAATCTGCTTAAAATTTATTACCTAAATATTGGATTCACGTAACACATTAATCAAATATGACAGAAAATATAGGTTCACACATTGACCTAAGCCAAAATGCAGTTCGTGTTCTGTGAATCCTGTTATTGTGGTTTTTAGACCATGGTTATTGGCTTGTTGTAATGAATATACTCAGCCAAATATTATTTATGTAATAATGGTTAAATCATGGTTTACTATGATACAGACTTATAGCAATCTCATGATTAGTTACATTCTTCTCTGCAGATCTCTTGTATAGTATATAGCTAATGGCTCTTGTCCAGTAAAATGTTGTCACATGTTTACAATAGTGAAAGGTTTTAGACTAATAAGTTATGTTGCCTGAGAGTGAGCAAAAATGTCCTAAGTAAAAGGGGTTTTTTCTTTGAAGTGCAGAATGCTGAAGTACTGGGCTGTTTCTCTGCTGTGTGGTTAAACTGACCTTTGGATGAAACAAGTTTGTGGCTTGCCTCTATCCCAAAAAATGCTGCTTTTAATGGGGAACAGTTCCCGAGTCTTTGTTCCCTTGCAGCATGTAAGGTAGATCTGTCCAAGAAGAAGGGAACTCAGTAGATATATAGGAAGATAATATCAAAAAACTGGTGAAATTTTATCATGACTTTAAGAGAGTATGAACACTGTCCATCTTTGAAACAGAAAGAATAGGCAGACATCTGACCCTGTTGATTCTCCATGTGGAGTCAGATACTTTATTGAAGGGCCTAGGAAATGTCCTTTTTATTTTTACTTGGCCAAAGTCAACAGCCCATCCAATGTAAGTAATTTCAGAACCATGCTTTTTGGAATCTGGTGAGATTTACTTGCAGTTTGGTACTCACATGGTTCAGACTGAGAGCTTCACCTGCTTGTCTCCCAAAATAAACAGCCTGAAAATGAAGCCGTTTAAGAAATCTGTTTCTGGATTTCAATCTATTTCTTTATTTTGGTCTTAGTAATGGTTCATATATTCTACTTGGACTGTGATTAACATGGCCTATGATTGATAATTCCTATTCTGCTTTTACTTTCCACCTATGCCGTGAAAGTGGGTGCTAGTTACATTCCATTCTGTTTTGAGGACTGAGAGAAAAAAAGCAAAAAGATTGCAGTTCTTCCTATCACTTGATCTAAAAAGGAAAACTTGGCAGAACTCTTGTCAGTTTCACCTAGTTAAAACAAAAGAAAACCAAGAAGTATCAAGCATTTCGCCATCCTATGGCTGAGCATGCATCACCACAGTTCCTGTCTCTTGGGCTAGAAGGGAAAACTGCTGAATTTGTTAAAGTAGAAAAAGAAAAATGACCGGCATTTACTATTGTACTACTGGGATGCTGTATAAAAGATCAAGCTCCATCCTGCCATGGCATGCACGCCTATATAAAATGGCATCTGAAACACTACAAGAGTGGAGGGGGGGACATATTTGCCACAGCAACTGGAACAGAAATTTGTTTAGGATGGAATAAAGTGCAATTGGTGGACCAGACTGTCTTGCTTGTACCAGATGAAAGGGTGAAATACCATTTTTAAATCAGATGGTGGTTCCCTTCCCAGAAGCCTAAAGTGAACTGAGGATGATGCTTTCCATTCCTG